AATTGCCCAGTCTGGGGTATGTGTTTATCAGAAGGGTGAAAACGGACTAATACAATGTGTGCCTTAGGAAAGGCTTCCCAAAGGAAAGAATGTTTCTGCCCAGGCCTGAATAGGAACTGGAGTGTGATGAGAGAGGCAAGTGCCTTGGGAGCAGGGCCAGACAGTAGGGAAGGATGGCAGAATGCCAAGTGCAGTGTGCCTAAAGGGTCTACCCAGGAGAGCACAGCACCCTGAGACGCTAGAAAAGCAAGTAGTTCATGCCACAGGAGGCTGCAATTTTACTCTAGGAATAAAAGGGAGCAACTGGTGGTGGGGTAGTTTAAAGTGGAATTTTGAAGACCTCTCTTGAGGCTGGACTGGAGACGGAGAAATCCTCTCACGAGGCAATACCAGTTAGGAGGCTGCGATGGAGCTCCAAGCAAGTGATGACAGCACTGCTGGGAGCACACTCACCTGACAGGATGGAGCCATCTTAGGCCCTTGAGATCATCCTCACCAATTTCGCCAGTAGCTGTTACAGACTACAAAGACATAGTTATGACAGCCTCATTTACCACCTCCAGGCCAGACTGCCAGAGTCTGAACCCAGCTCAGACCCCTATGGCTTCTTAACCTCTGTTCCTCAATACCCTCCTTTATAAAATGGGGATTATAATGGCACCAAACACATAGCGCTGTGGTGAAATTACATTGTTTACTATATATAACATGTCTACAATAGATGAGAATAAAGTGAGTAGGAAAGCATTGATTTCTTTCTGTCCTATCTACGTTCTGTAGCTTGTGGGTTCATTTGTGGGGGCAGGCAGGGGGCAGACTTAGTGTGAAAAGCAGAATGTAAAGGAGCTCATTAATAATTTACTTTACATAGTGTGTAGCTGTGTTATTAGGTGCATAAGAGTTTAGAAACGGAAACTTTTTGGGAAACGGAAACTTTGATCCACCTGTTTCTTTCCCATTTTTAAAATGTAGTTACTAGAAAATATAAAATTAGACATGTGGCTCAGGTTGTATTTCCACTGGATAGTGCTGGTCTAGAGGAAGGATGAGCAAGAAGCCCACACCAATCCCCCAGTCCTGGGTGGCAACAAATGGACTGCAGAAAGTGATAAGCAAACAGAGGAGAGTATCAGAGGCTGCACATGTCCTCTCTTCTGCTAGGGTATGGATTAGAGATATGAATAAGATGTTTATGAAAAGCAAAAAGTGGGTGAAGAATAGGGCAGAAGAGGATGAAAACGCAGAGGCTGAGGAGAAGAGAGGAAGGCCAAGGAAGAAATGGCACATGTAACAGAAAAACTACCTCTGCTCAGAACTCAATACACACAAGCCCTGAATTATGAAGAAGACATGGTCTTAAAAACAGCCTTCATAGTCAAAAGACAGAAGTACTATTCTACCAAAGTAGACCTTTCTAATCTGTTGTTTCTATCAAACTGATCCCATCCTATCACATGATATTTAACTGTTACAATTCCAGCTGTTAAAAATTAAAGGAAAAAAGGAACGAATTCATGGGTATAAGAGTTGGTGAGCCATTCAATAACTTAATCCTGAATATTTTTCCATGCTGTAATAATGGGACAACAAAAATGTTTTACATGGCCTCAAAAACCCAAATAAGAAGTGGACTTTTCCTCTAGGTCATGGATAATTTTTAGCAGAAATGCAGAGAAAGCAGGCCAGAGAAGTAGACATAAAGTACAGAAAGTACAGTATTAAGAGAGCTCAGAGAAGAGGGGTTTGTTTGCAGCAAGAAGAGTGGGAGCTGAGACCAAGCCAGGCTGTTTCACCAGAGAAACTCTTCCCTTAGGTTAGAGGCTCTTAGGGAGCTAACGGTTCCCACAGCCCAGCTTGCCCTGCTGCCTGGCCCACTGGGAGACTGCAGCCTAGAGGTAACTGCACTTACTGACACCATACACAGCCAGGTAGAAACTGATCCTGACTGCCAGAAGGACTCCTGATTCCTGCCCCAGTCTCCTTAGAACTGTCACCCTCATCAGCTAACAGTGAGGAACTACCAATGTGGTCATTCCAAAACTGAAATAAAATAGCTGTGTCCAAGGCTCCCAAAACAGCAGTACCACTCCTTAGGTACAGACCTATCAGAAACACACACACATATGTATCAAAGCCAGACACTAGAGTGGTCACAGCAGCACCATCTGTAACAGACAAATGCTCACAGACAATACGTGACAGAAACTGTCCAAATGTTCACAGACAATACGTGACAATATACCATACATGAATATGGTATATTCTCCCAATGGCCCAATCAGCAATGAGAGTGAATATCCTTCAACTACGGGCAGCATCATGAGTGACTCTCAGAAACTCAATGCTTAAGGAAAGAAGACATACACTAGCCGGGCATAGTTGCCCTGCCTGCAATCTCAGCGCTTTGGAAGGCCAATGTGGGAGAACGGCTTGAGGCCAGGAGTTGGAGACCAGCCTGGATAAACATGGTGGGAGCCATCTCTACAAAAATCAAATAAACAAATTAGCTGGGTCTGGTGGTGTTTGTCTGTAGTCTCAGCTACTGAGGAGGCTAAGGAAGGAGGATTGCTTGAGTCCAGGAGTTCAAGGCTGATCCTGGGGGAGGCTGCGACCAGAGTACAACACATGGGGAGCTCCCAGGGTCCCGGACAGGTCTGTTTCTTGATCTAAGTGCAAGTGTATGGGCGTGTTCAGTTTGGAAAATTCATTGAACAGGACACTTATGGTATGTCTACTTTCCTAGTATCTATGTTATTTTTAAAATAATAATAATAAAGCTTTGTCTGTCTGGTGTCCAGGTAAGACAAGCCTGGTAGTGTCCTTGAAGCCTCAAAACTGATTTTTCTCCTGCTCTTATGCATTTCACTTGCTTCTCCTCTGCACATGTGCTTAAGCTGGCTCTCTCCTGGGCCAGCCTGCGTGTCACCATCATATTTATGGTTTCCTCCCATACCAGGCCTGTGATTCACCTCTTTGCATGCCTTGGCTAACTTATGCCACCCACACTGATCCAGCCCTTGCTTTTCCTTCCTCAGCAGTTAGGGAGCTCCGATCATCATTAACGTATGTATATTCCCAATTGTTTTACCTTTGCCAAAGCTTCCCAGCTAGACTAAAAATGGGGAGCATGCCCTCTGGCACTGTGTCCACAGGCAGTGCGGATTAAATCGATCCTCAGGAACCAGGAGGGTGTGGAAGGCAAGCCTTATCCCTTCTCCCAGAAACTGCTGGCTCCAACACAGCCATCTCAGCCTCCCAGGACCTGGAATGGACTCCCACAGAGGACTCCCCAACCTCTTTTCATTCATTGCCTCCCAAGAGCCAACCTGCTAGATAAATTTCCCTCACCGCTGCAGATAGTCCCACAAGGCAAGCAGGGAAGAACTAGAGGAGGCAAACCAAAGAACAGAGTGTGTCCTTATTCTGCCATGGATATATCCTTAACAATCATCACCAATCTATTTTGATGACATGCAACAATCTACAATTTATGCCAAAATTGTAAGAATTTTCCAAATAGTCGCAAATGTGAGGTTTCAGGATTTATGCCTGCCAGCCTTCTCTCTCTTCCATGAGCCCCTTCATGCCTTCCCATCGCACCTATTTCTCTTCTTGCCTGATGAAGAAACGCTAACCAACTAAGAATATCTAAGCGCCATTTCATTTTACAAAAACAGCAGCACCCATGTGACGGGCACACCAGTGAAAGACTCAGGACATGCTGGTTACATGCTCTGGCAGTTAGTATGAATCTCTCCTTCTTGAAGTGACAGCTGGAACTCAGGTGCTTCCAGGCTGTGACTAGCAGCAATGTTAGACACTCCTCGAAGCTGTCAAGCTCTCAGGGTTACACAAGTGAAACCACACCGTGTTCTGATTGTATTCAAGTCTGTGCCCCTTCATGTAGCAGAAACCGACTTCTCTTCCACAGTTTCAGCAGCTGCATCCTTCCACAGAAAAGGATTAGCAGCCATAAGCCCAGGGGAGGGCAGCTAAAGGAGATGAGTCTCCTTCCTCTCTGTGACACCCAGCACGGCCCTGGCACGAACAGCAGGCAACCACCGGTGCCAGATGAAGCGCAGCACATAAAACCATTTTCCCCTTTAAATGAACAATGCCTAATTAAGCAAAGGCTGCATACATGAATTAAGACATGAGGATATCAAATTTGTCTTCTGAGTCAGCTAGTAATTCTGCAGGACGTCTACCCTCGTACACGTATTTTTTATGATTAGAAAAACCCAGGGCCTGGAAGGGACCTCGATCATCTGTAGAGTAAGCCTCCCAGGAGTGACCAAGAGCCCGAGCCGCACAGGGGGATCAGTGTCTGCCAAGGTCACCCAGCTGGTGTGGGGCAGAGCTCCTCCGGGATGCTCTTGGAAAACCCTGCGTTACTTACACACGCAGGGCTAACAGTGAATGCATGCCCGCGTCAAGCCACGGCTACAATTCAGAAGAAACCAAAAGGTCGCCAAAACCTGTCTTCTCCGCAGGGCTGGCTGCAGAGAGGGTGCAGAGAAGGTCACCGGCAAATTTCTACCAGCGGCCCCACATCACGCCTCCCTGATGGATGCAGAAAGCGGTTTCGGGAGCTGGTAGTAACCATGCAGGGGGTCCCCTAAGCCCATCCCAGGAAAATGCGTTAAGTCGCCTCTGCCGGCTCCGAAGCTTCCAGCAATGAATTAAATCCAGAGCTGCTGCGGAAAGCAGCGGGGACAGGGTCAATGCGGCGGGACCCGACACCCAGCTGTCCGCCCCGCCCTCCACCGCGTCCACACCTGCGAGGGCCGCGGCGCCCCCCGCCCGGTCCACACGGCCAGGGACCACGACCATCTGCCCGCGCCCCGGCCGGGCTCGCCTGGGGGCGCCGTGCTCTGGAAGCTGCCCGCGGCGTTTAGGCGGAAACGCATCGCCCAGCGAGGCCGGACAGAGACAGGTCGCCGCCGCAGACCCCAGCCCAGAAGCCCCCGTGACGCCGAGGAGGGGGCTGCGCCATGTACCTCGGCCTGCAGGTGCCGCCGCTGTCTCGGTCCGCGGCTGCAGGGGACGCAGCTCCGCGCCGCCCGCCGCCTTCGTCCGCATACTAGGGAGGGGGCTCCGGCCAGCCGCCAACCGCGGACCCCGCGCCCCCTCCCGCCCCCGGCGCCGCGCTCGCGCCCATTCAGCCCAAGGCCGCCGCTCCCCGGCGCGGATGCGGAGGAGGGGCGGGGGGCGGGACCTGTCGTCACGAGGAGCGGACAGCCAATTGGAGAATACAATGCCTCCTCTACGCCCCGCCCCCGGGCGCGCGGGCCCCTCCGCCCTGCGAAGCCGTAGGAGCTGCGGGGGCAGGACGCCCCCTACGGGTACGCACCCGGGGCGGAGGTCGTGCCGGGGCAAGCCCCTCTAGGTTCTGGAGAGGAAATGATTGACAAACAGTTTGTAAAAGCATAAATATTCGTGGAAATTAAAAAAAAAATCAGATAGGAAACAAAGCTTAAGACAGTGATCAATAGGTTATTTCTTGAACACAGCTGAGCATATACTGTGTGCCTGTAACTTTCCGGTGCTTTCGACCCGACCCCGGTGAAACCAATTAAGTCGGTCGGCTTGCAGAACTTCCTTTCAGACGGGCAGACACAGCACCGCGGCCGTGTTTCTGTGATCCCCTTCTGGGTTTAAAAAAGATCCTAGACACCGAGCCAAATATGTTTGCATAAACCGGGAGCTCGTCGCTCTATTTTGTAACAGCTTGGCGCAAGGCAGCTGGTTTGGAGATGTCTCTGTTCTTCCCTTGGTTGGGGGCGGGGTGTCGGAAAAAATGTGCTGCCTGGGTGATCGAGGTCGGGGCCAAAGCGTTGCAAAGGAAACGGTGGGAGGACTCTACTTTCACAAATCCCAAAAGGGTTTAACCATAAGACTATATCTGGATTGTTCTAACGTGAAGACATTGGGAGCATTTCGAAAATATTGGAGGAAAAGCTGTCACTAGGCGATTTAAATCCAGTAAGTTGGTCAAGACTAGCCAGGCGAAGCAGCTGCCCGGGTCAGCGACAGCTGCAAGAATGCTCCGTACCTTGCCCTCTTACTCTTGGAGACCAGCCCAAGGCCCATGTGTTACAGCAAAGGGGTCCCATAGACCCCAAGAGAGGGTTCTTGGATCTCATGCAAGAAAGAATTCAGGGCAAGTACACAGTGCAAAGTAAAAGCAAGTTTATTAAGAAAGTAAAGTGCCATGTGATGCTGGGACAGGAGGCAGCTTCAAGCTCCTTTTCTTACGGGCCCAGCGGCTCGCGCCTGTAATCCCAGCACTTTGGGAGACTGAGATGGGCTAATCACCTGAAGTCAGGAGTTCAAGACCAGCTGGCCAACATGTCGAAATCCCGTCTCTGCTAAAAATACAAAAATTAGCTGGGCAAGGTGGCTCTTACCTGTAGTTCCAGCTACTCCGGAAGCTGAGGCAGGAGAATCCGTTGAACCTGGAAGGCAGAGGTTGCAGTGAGCTGAGATTGCCACTGCACTCCAGCAGGGTGTTCCTGAAAATGAGAAGAGGAACATATCCAACCTAGGTACAATGCTTGTAATGCTTGTATATATGGAGAGATGTGCTCTACTACAAGGGTTTGTGACAAAGGATTAATTTTCTTAATACATTTGCAAGAATCAATATTATTATCTTTAAAGCAAAAGTAGGAATGCCTTTGTTCTCCAGATATCAGGATATCTGGACACTCTCAAGTCTGGGTCTGTTCAGTAAACATTATTAATTTGTTCCCTTAACCATAAACATCTAGAGCTAGGAATGAATGCCTAGCTTTCAGCGAATGCAGACTAGCAAGTCCAAGCCTCATTTTCCTAGCCCTCATTCAAAATGGAGGCACTCTGGTTCAAACGCCTCTGACACATGTGCTTGATACAACACTCTTTACCTCTCTGTCTCCCTTGCTCTTTCCCTTCTCTTCCAGATTCCCCTTGTCTGCAAAGCCAGGCCCTGATAGCATCATGGCTGCTATGAAAGTCAGCAGTATTCCAGCTTCCAAGGATGGATGTAAGGTGGGGGTAAGAAAGAAAAGGAGCTTGAAGCTGCCTCCTGTCCCAGCATCACATGGCATCTGTTAAGCCCTTACTCTACTCACATTAGGTTGACCCACTTGGGCAGCAAGACAAGCGGGCCCCCAAACTTCCTTTTCACCGGCCACAGAGACATCCTTAGCTACTATTCTGGATTAAGACAAAGATCTCCAAACAGCAGACTCAGATCACCCTCTAGATTTCAAAGCCTTACTAGTATCTCTCCAAGTCATTGGCTGATCTCAGAGAAGCTTCTGAATAGTGACTAGCAAAGAGTCACTCAGGATACTCAGAAATCAAGGCGGAAGTGCAATGGCGTGATCTCAGCTCACTGCAACCTCTGCCTCCCGGGTTCAAGTGATTCTTGTGCCTCAGCCTCATGAGTAGCTGGAATTACAGGTGCGGACCACCACACCCAGCTAATTTTCATATTTTTAGTAGAGGTGGGGTTTTGCCATATTGGCTAGGCTGGTCTTGAACTCCTGACCTCAAGTGATCCACCCACCTCTGCTTCCCAAAGTGCTGGGATTACAGGCATGAGCCACCGCGCCTGGCCTAATTTTTTACTTATGCTGATTGCTTTGGTCATTCTCATAGCAGGCTTTTGGTTGCCTCCAACATCCATCCACCCTCATCCTTTGTGATGCAACATACCTTTTAAGTGAGTTTGCCACACTCTATGAGAGGGTTCTGATTGGTCTAAGCCAGGGGTTTTCAAAATGTGGTCCAAAGACTTCTGGGAGTCCCTGAGGACCTTTCAGGGGGAACTCTGAAGTCAAAACTGTCTCATAATAATCTAATACATCAGTTACCTTCTTCACTGACAGCAAAAAAACAAAAGTGGGCCAAACAACTGGGACCTTCACAAATCAAAGCAATGACCCCAAAATGATTAAAATCTCAAATCTTGAGTCATGGCCCTTTTTTATTTATTTATTTTTTCGAGACGGAGTTTCACTCTTATTGCCAAAGCTGGAGTACAGTGGCGCAGTCTCAGCTCACTGCAACCTCTGCCTCCCGAGTTCAAGCCATTCTCCTGTCTCAGCCTCTGGAGTAGCTGAGATGACAGGCACCTACCACCACACCTGCCTAATTTCTGTATTTTTAGTAGAGACATGGGTTTCACCATGTTGGCCAGGCTGGTCTTGAACTCCTGACCTCAAGTGATCCACCTGCCTCAGCCTCCCAAAGTGGAGTCATGACTTTTTAATATTTCATATGACAAAACGAAACTACACGTAAAATACTTTTGCTGCAACTGATGTTAGATAGTTGTCTATGTAACATGGTTGTCTAAGTGAGATCGTTTTCGAACTTAGAAAAGCACATGTGCAGTTATTTGAATTGCAGGCCTAATTTGCTGTTTTTCTTCATGAAACACCATTTTTACTTGAGAAAATATCTGACAAACTATGATTATTCTGACCTGAGTATTTGGTATGTATTTTCTTGAAAATAAGCTAAATGAGCTTATGTCTTCAAGGAAAACAATTGACTATTTGTTGCCAATGATGATAAAATTCCAACTTTTCAAGAGAAATTTAGAATTTTGGAAAACTTGGATCACCATGAGCTTGACAGCTTCTCAATATTTAAAGACTTTTCTGATGAAATCAATGGTGACGTTAATGAATGTGATTTTTGGATACTGGATAATGTATAACACCTACATTTACCCAGTGAATCATCGATTTCCAAATAGTTAACACATGACATTACAAAGTCATCCATGAGTAAAGATCCATTTAAAGTACAAGGCGGACAATGGCTTTTAATTTAAGAGTAGAAGTTTACAGATAAGTTTTCAGATTCCACAGTGCAACAAACATTTAAGAAACAACCTCTTGTAGAGTTTTGGTGTATCAAAGACAAATATTCACAATTATCTTAAAAGGCTATTAAAATACTCATACCTTTCCAATTACAGATCAATGTGAGACCAGGTTTTCTTCATGTACTTCAACCAAAATAATTTGCAACAGATTGAATACAGAAGCAGATATAAAAATCCAGCTGTCTTCTGTTAAACCAGACCTAAAGAGACTTCCAAAAATGTTAAAACAGAACTTACTATCACATTTGGGATTCAGTAAAAAGAAAAAAAAGTCATTTTTTTCTCAATATTTTTGTTTTGGAAAACAGTATCTTTTTTGTTTTTGTTTTTGTTTTTTGAGACGGGGTCTCGTTCTGTCACTCAGGCTTGGGCCATATGCAGTGGCATGATCACAGCTCACTTGCAGCCTCCACCTCCTGGGCTCAAGCAGTCCTACCTCAGCCTCCCAAGCAGGTGGAACTACAGGCACCCACCACCATGCCAGGCTAATTTCTAATTTTTTGTAGAGACAGGGGTCTCCCTCTGTTGCCTAGGCTGGCCTCAAACTCCTGGGCTCAAGTGTTTCCTCTTGCCTGGGCCTCCCAAAGTGCTGCGATCACAAATGTGAGCCACTGCATGCACCAAAACCAGTTATTTTTTGTCTGGGTATGGTGGCTCACACCTGTGATCTCAGCACTTTGCGAAACCAAGGTGGGCAGGTTATTTGAGGTCAGGAGTTTGAGACCAGCCTGGCCAACATGGTAAAACGCTGTCTCTGCTAAAAGTACAAAAATTTAGCTGGGCATGGTGGCACATGCCTGTAATCCCAGCTACTCAGGAGACTGAGGCAGGAGAATCACTTGAACCCTGGAGGCAGAGATTGCAGTGAGTTGAGATCACGCTACTGCACTCCAGCCTGGGTGACAGAGCAAAACTCCGTATCAAAAAAAAGTTATTTTTATCAATATATTAACATGCAATGGAATTATTATTTTTCTTGAAAGAGAGTCTTGCTCTGTCACCCAGGCTTGAGTTCAATGGTGCAATCATAGGTCACTGCAACCTCTACCTCCCAGGTTCAGGTGATTTTCCTGCCTCAGCCTCCAGAGTAGCCGGGATTGCAGGTGTGCACCACCAGGTCCAGGTAATTTTTGTATTTTTAATTGAGATGGGGTTTCACCCTGTTGGCCAGGCTAGTCATAAACTCCTGACCTCAGGTGATCCACCCATCTCAGCCTCCCAAAGTGCTGGGATTACAGGTGTGAGCCACCATGGCCAGCCAGATTTATTTTGTTTTATTTTATTTATTTATTTTTTTTGAGACGGAGTTTCGCTCTTGTTACCCAGGCCGGAGTGTAATGGCACGATCTC